AGTTACCAAAGGCATTTCATCTCATTATCTATTTTATAATGCGTTCGGCACATGAGTAGCGCCACGTTTGAAACAAGCCTAACAGATCAGAAACGTGCCTCGTGGAACTGATACAATTTATTTATTTACTGTGATGCTACACGTGACAACTTGAAATTTAAATTGTTTCACCAACACCCAAATTTTGCATATTCTAAAACTTCATTTGCATTTGCAGCTGTCGCTAAAAGCATCCTAACGAGGCTACTGATACCCTGAACTTATTTAATATGATTATTCCCATCACCCAAATATAGCTGTATAAGATATGTTATGAATAATAAGCACTACGACGTTGTATCATTAAAAGAACGCATTTTATCCCCATCCGTTCTATATTTTATCCCCATATCCGTTCCGTGGATCCGCTCCATCCGCTTCCGCATTTTAACCTAATTGTGACACGTTTCACAATAACAAGTCTGATTGACCTTTGACTTTATATTCCCAATGGCAATGTCACATTGCGTTTCATGAGTCATTTTCAGCTTTTCGCATGTATTCAATAATGTCACTTTAGATTTCAATAGTTTCACAGTTATAGCAGTGTTTATAGCAGTTTTAACAAGCTTTGATACGGCTCTGTGTACAGATTGATTCTCGTAAGATCTGGTAAAGTTATCGTTGCACTGAACACGAGTTTGCACTGTTGACGTTGTGCTAGACAGTAAACAAAGTAAGTCCTTGACGGTACACGTTGGCTACCTCCTTGCTTTTTTCTTCTATTGCATAAAGCTTGTTGGCAAGCCAAGCGATTGGCGATAACACGTTGGCTATAACTCGATCCTCGTCTTTCTTGTTTAAATAAAGAGCTCTGCAGACTCAACTGATTTCTTTTAGTCTCGATCACAACTCACAAGTTATTTTCTTCGCATTAAAACGCCATACAAACACCCGCTTCTGTTTAATTAATAGTTGTTTACGCTTTGTCTGATGCAAATTTCGCTCTTTGTACTGAGTGTAGCCATCTATTCTGCGGCGGTAGCACCTTATACAGTCAATGTGGCCAATGTATAATGAATACACGGCCTAAACAATATATCTTCTGGCACTTAATTGGGCGCCGGTAATGCATAACGTCATCAATTTATATATTGCGTAGAATCTGAAAGATTTTCTCAATATTCATGTCTGAAATGTTTATATATTTGAAAACAACACTCTCTCGCACTTTCCTACCTCTGTATAATGGGTATACCGTGAAAATAATATCGGCACTCAATTGAATGCCTAGAATCTCAAAGATTTTCGACTCAATATTTACGTCTGAAATGTTTAATATATAGCCTACACTTGAAAAAAGCAAAAAGCTCCTTGCTAGCTCTGTAAAATGAATATACCGGTCTAAATAATATCGGCACTTAATTGAATGCATAACATCAATTTATATATTGCGTAGATTCTCGAAGATTTACTCAATATTCACGTCTGAAATGTTTATACATTTCAAAACAACACTGTCTCGCTCCTTCCTAGCATCGTCACGCCATCGTGATCTACGGCTTGATAGCGCATGCGCATTTGCGCTACTAAAGAAAAAATCGGGTGTTCCGGGGTAAAGATCCTTTACACAACGTGAGAAGCGAATGTTCTAAAATTACAAAAAATTACAATAACGACAACGATTCCTCGAAATTTTTGTGAACTTGGCAAAAGGACAAAAGAATATTTAAAGAAAATAAATAAAATTGCTTAAATAACCTTCAAAGCACTGACTAAGTACAATAAATCACTGCGAACATAAATCGTATACACCCCCCGGAAAGTTTACTCTATGACTGACTGAATGACTGAATGAATGACTGATTCGTGTGAATTCACCAGCCATCACAACAGTGTGAAGTGAAACTTCACACTAAACTAGGGATCCAAGGATAGTGTGAAGTTTCAAATTTTAAAAGACTGCAAGAACTATATAGGGTCACCGACAACCTAGAAAAGCTTGATGGCTTAAGCTACGTTTACACACTGCGATTAATCGTGTACGATTCGTTTTCTGGCGTATGTCATTGAGTAAACACGCATAAGCTGGCTACATTTGAAATCTCTTTTAACGAAATGGCAATGAATTATGGCGCCAGCACTCATTTTAATACGCCAGAATACGAATCGTACACGATTAATCGTAGCGTGTAAACGTAGCTTTACACTACGAAATAAACAGTTACCAAAGGCATTTCATCTCATTATTTATTGCCTTGTGAAACTGATGCAATTCATCTATTTATTGTGTCACCAACAACCAAATTTTGCATATTCTAAATTTTCATTTCCATTTGCAGCTGTCGCTGAAAGCATCCCCATGTGCACGAGGCTACTGCTATGCTAAATTTATCTAATAAACTATAATTGAAATAGCTGTATAAGATATGTTATTAATAATAAGCACTACGTCGTTACATCATTAAAAGACGCATTTTA